TTAGGGAAGGGTAGAGTTAAAGATTTTAGTAGAAGGGCCTTATATATAGGAAGAATCTTAAAGACCCTAGTAATCTATCCTAGTATACTATATTATATTTAAAGGTAGGTTAATATATTATAGTAATAAACCTCTATATAATAATAATTAGCTTATCTAATTTAGCTTTAGTAGATAGAGCCTATAGAAACCTATATAAAATTATAGAAACCTACGTTAATACCTATAATAACCTATAAACCCTATAGTATAACCTAAATAACCTATAAAATAACCTATAAAAACCTGTAGAACCTATATAAAAACCTATAAGAACTAAGAAAATTATAAAAACTATAATACCCTATTAAAATATATATCTATAAACTATATTTTTCTAACTCTATATATAGTTTCTAGCTTATACTATAATAACTCTAATAAAAACGTAATTTCTAATTATAGTTAGAAATAGTAGTAGTAAGGGAGCTTTTAATATAGAGAGAATTTCTAACCGCGGTTAAAAATAGCGGTAGTCGAAGGGTACCTAATATATATAAATAAAACCGCTATAGATTACTATATTTTATTAGTATAAATTAGTATTTTTATACACTTTACTATAGCTTGATTAGGAAAATTATATAGCCGCGGGTTTTTATAGGAACCTACGCGGGTTACCCGCGCGGGTGGCAGGTTACAGGTTAGTCGAGTCTACCTATCGGGTTTATGGGTTCGGGTTATAGGTCGACTTCTCTTACCCATTCTCGGGTTTTGGCGTAGTCTACCAGTGAGGTACGGAAGCGTATACGCGGGGGATAGGTCTAGTGGGACTAAGAAGTGCAGTTAATACGCCGAGGGTGGGCTATTGTAGTAACTAAGGTTCCACGAGAGGTTTATATAGTTATCCCAATCAATACGGTTATTTCCCCTTTCTCGGATTCGAATTATATATAAGTAATCTCACAGAGGCTAAACCTCTGCCTGTATATATAGGCCGTTGCAATATACCGACTAGAAGAACACTGATCTGTTTACAGGCCTCGTCCACGTTCCGAGTATAGGAGATTCGATAAAGAACTGCTTCTCCCTCGTATCCTAGGCCTTCTTACCTATCGAGATTTTCTTCCTATAATGTTCGCACTATATCTATCTGGACTAGCCCTCCTGTCCTTCGTGGTCTTAATCACGGCGATTCCCGACCAGAATATTATAGTTAGCTGTAGGATGGCCCCTGATATAAGTCACTACCTCTCTCCTTACGGATTTCTACTTTTGTAGTGGAAGGCTGATTTGAACTGGCTTACTAGAGTAGAGCACTCGAACTGGAGTGTAACAATGAAAACATCTTTCCTTAGGATCTAGCCAGCGGCGGGTAGAGCGAAGGACTATATCTGACTCTGGGGTCGGAAGATTGCCAGGTCGCAGAGGATGAGTGAGGAAATCTTCCATAAAACGATAATTACAACTTACTTTTTCACGCGTATAGTTGCTATATTGTCCCTGCCGAGCGACTCGCGTGGAGGCGCGTCGGCAAGGCCTAGATGCCTCGCACAGTTGACTTGGGCAACATAGTCCGGTTTTGTGATGGGTGATTCTTGTTTATTCTAAGCTAGTTTCGGGCCCAAAATATTTCGTGCGCATTCCTCAAATGAAAATAAGCAAAAAGCTTTCAGCAAAGACCTTGGACATCACGACACGACACGACGCCACCAAGTTAGATCATCGGTCTACTTGGGTCGTTCAGGAACGCAAATTGCATGTGTGGACTCCGAGTGGGAGGAGAGATTATAACACAATATTTTGGAAGATAATTTGAAGAAAAAGGTTGAGGAAGAAATTAATACGTAGGTAGTTATACGTACCATATTTCCTCTGCCGGGTGGGGCTTTCCTATCTTGGCTGCCGCCGCTTTTATGAGGGCGCTCAGAGTCAGGCTCACTGAGTAAATCTCAGTCCGGGCTCAAGCTCAGTGAGCTGCTCGATATAAACACGTGACTGAAATGTGAGGCCCACTGAGCGCTCACTGAGTGTGTTTGATTACTCAGAGATTTATCGGAGGCATCTATTGTGCACTCAGTCACGCTCCGTCCATACCCGAAAGGGCGCCGGCCCCACAGTACTGTTTATTTGTGAATCACATTCTGATGGCCTGATCAGCTTCAGTTTCTTGAGGTGTTCCATACTCCTCTTCCACCCTCAGCCCCGACCCGCCCTTTTTGGGCGATGGAGCGGAATTATGCCAAAATTAAAGGCACAGATTTAACCTGTGCTTTAAGGACGCAAGAGGAAGATCCCTCTATCTACGGCTGCCTAGACTCGTGGGTATAAATTGAAGCTATCTTACCTCCCCCTCAAACGGAGAAATGGGGATGTCCTGGTCCTATATATAGTGAAAGAGGAAGAGCACAATGGGAATGTTGATTCTTACGCTTCACCTATGTATAGATCCACCCAAGATTTGAAAGCCCCAAGGCTAAGAAGGGAGATGGCTGAAGTATGCCGCAACTTGTCTCTGGTTTATTCAGAACTCATGGCCACTGATTCTCCGAAATGACCAGCAACGTGGTGCGCCACAGCAGCTTCATCGCCCTCGAAGTCAGCACATACAGGACACTTGAGAGAGCCCGGTACCTGAGCAGCACCACCTGTATCCTCAGCCCTCTCCTCCAGCCGCTCATCCCGTCCAGCCTGCGTCTTCTTCCCCTTCTTCCCCTTCGCAGGGCGTATGTACATATCCAGCCCAAGGGGCTCAGCGGAAGGCTCCTCAGGCCCATCAAGACGCATATCACGCGAGGTAAAACGATTGCGTCTCCCGCTCACATCCCCTCCCTCTGCTCTTACTTGAATCCCAACGCTCTCTTGTGCGCTCTTTCCGTCATCTTCCGGCTCACCGCTCCGGAGGCTCTGGACTCTTCCGATGCGCCCGTCGGTCAGCCGCACTTTGACGCCTCGTGGGTGATCGCCACGCGTGAGTAGTTCGCTCACTGTCCCTGATACTGTCCGTCCTGTGGGCTGGTCGGCTTTGAGGATGATGTTGACGGCCGTGCCTGGGGTGATGGCTTTTGAGGGGGGCACGCGTGGGTGGGAGGGGTGCGACCCCCCGCGTCCGCCGCATCTTTTTTGATTATTCATTGGGAATGTCGTGTACAGAAGGACACCGTATTGGGGTGTAGATGCAGGTCTTGGCTGGCGTTGAGGCAGAATTTTCCAACACGGTGTGGACTGTCGGGTAGATAAACTGGGAACATCCGACTGGGATGTATCTGCGTGTCACGGATTCTAGCAAGTGAGGACTCTTGTTCACTTCATCTGAAAAGAATGTAAACTTGTGCTGTTGATTTGATTTTCCGATTTATCTTGCTCCCAAAGTTCGAAAGGGGCAGGGAAGTCATTGATATTGACAGAGAGCAGGCGACATCGATTGGTCTGTGCTGAGCCTGGCAGGTATCCCCCGTTGGCAGTAGATAAATCTAGCAATTACACTCTTTCAGGATCAGACTCTCCTTGTCGTGGCCTCCCAGGTAACATACAGTATCCACTGCCCTCAGGGCCATAGTCCCATCGTCTTTGTGATATTAAATAATATAGTTTCTTTATATAATATAATTGGGATAGTATTTAAATCCTTATTAAAAAGTTATATTTAATAGGAATGACTAAGAAAATAGAAGTGTGCTAGTATATAGATAGAGAGAAGGGTTCAAATTGGTATTATAAAGGATTAGTAGAAATATATATCTCGATTAAAAGTCTATACTTTAAAAGCTTCTATTTATTACTACTATTTCTAACTGCAGTTATAATCACTTATACATTTTAAAGCTCTTAACTATTACTATTTCTAACCGCGGTTAGTAACTATCGCCTATAAGCTTTAGTAAGGTCTAACTATCTATTATAAGTGCGAATTAGAGGTAGAGTGCGCCAAAAACCGCAATTAGGGGCAAAACCTTGCCCCCAAAAACCAAACCGCAACCAAACCACAAACCACTGCGGTTCCCTAATAGGGCCCTAACAAAAACCATTTTTGTATAAAATGGAGGTCTTAGTATATATAAACCGGGTTACTTATACAAATATATTACTGTTGTTTAACCTTATATTGGTCACAACTACACTTTATATTCTGTCCGTGTAGGCGGTGACCTTTTCTACTAATATTTCTAACCTCGGTCAGAAATATACTACACGGGCAGAACCTTTTATATTATTATTTCTGAGGTTAGAAATATACTATACTAGTAGAGTTTAAGTCTTAACTAGTACTAGTATCAGCCTATTATAATAATAATAATAAAAAGTAGAAATTGTCGGATCTTAAAAGTTCTTTAATATTTTGTTGCGGAAATATATATTTATTATAAGAGGTTGATATATATCATTCTCTAATCACACTGTTTTCCTTATAACTTTTTAAATAAAGGTACTGTAAGATTATAACTTATATTAATCAATTACAAACTATCTTTTTTATAAAGATCATCTTATTTAAATAATAACTCTTTAGTATACAAACTGTAAAATTAGTTTGATGTGACTTTTTTTATCGAGACCTTGATATAGCTGCTACCTAAGGTTTTTGGTGGAAAAATGATTTATAGTTTCTTGCGGTTTCTTAATGGTTTCTTACAGTTTTTAATAGTTTCTTACAGTTTTGACCTATATATATAGTAAGCTACTATCATCTAATTAGCGGTTTAGTATATTAATTAATTCGCGATATATCTACTAACCTAAAGATCCTTTATTTATCGGTCGCGTCTATATAGAATCTTTACAATTTATATAAGTCAGAGCCTTCCCTCTTAGTATTTCCATTAGTAGTTATATTTTTATACTTATCATATCTTAAACCTAGCAATCTGCCTTGTCCTTATCGATCTACAGATACTAGTCATATGTTCCTTCCCACTCCGCCCCACTATATTGGCCCAACAACCAACCCACCATTTTATTTTTCTTCCTACACCTCCCCTATTGCTCCAATTACAATGAAATTAGGACCAAAAAATAGCAAAATGGCGCAGCTATATACGTCCCAAAGGTCAGCTATTATCTATGCTCATAAGAATGGCGCTACGCAAGTGCAATTAGCTAATGACTTTGGCTACTCTCGGCGTACAATCTACAATACGCTAAAACGCTATTCAGAAGGCGAAAAGCTAGAGAATCGCGAAAAAAGCGGCCGTCCCGCTATTATTAGTGAGCGCGCTTGCTCTTATCTCTATTTATAGGCACGTCGGCATCCGTTTTAGACCTATAAATAGCTAAGCGCTGCTACAGCTTAGCATCCGTCACCCTCCACTATTCGTCGAATTTTAAAGCGATTCGGACTCAGAAAATAGCGATCGAAACAGAAAATACTAATTAAGCCTCCTCTTACTAGGAAGAGGCTAAAATTTGCGCGAAAATGGCGACGTAAAAGCTTCCAATCGTGGATCTTCTCGGACGAGTGTTCGGTGCAGCGAACCTCGAACTTTAGACCACAATAGTGCTTTCGTACGACCTCTAAGGGTCTTCGCCGCGACCTT